CATCTGATTCTGTGACGTAAGTGATTCTAGACTGGTAACCACGTCTTTATTAGTAACACTCGGGCTAAAAGACTTTGCTATGAGTGAGTGACCGGCAAGTTAGGAAAGGGTGCAGTGAGTGACCAGCAGGCTAATGAAGGCTGCAGTGAGTGACCAGCAGGCTAGTAAAGGGTGCAGTGAGTGACCATCAGGCTAGGAGAGGCTGCAGTGAGTGACCAGCAGGCTAATGAAGGCTGCAGTGAGTGACCAGCAGGCTAGTAAAGGCTGCAGTGAGTGACCATCAGGCTAGGAGAGGGTGCAGTGAGTGACCAGCAGGCTAGGAGAGGGTGCAGTGAGTGACCAGCAGGCTAGTACAGGCTGCAGTGAGTGACCAGCAGGCTAATGAAGGGTCCATCCACGTACCGTACATACAGACGTCGCTGGTTGCACTGTATGACGTGACCGGCGGATGTGTTTCGCAGCTGCTTGATGATGAGCAAGCCGCTTTGTTTCTCAGAGATTAGCTTTAGCAGCCGAGCATATAATTTTCTCTTGTTAATTGTGTGACTAGCGAACACTGTACGCGCGCACGCTTACACGCACTCATACGCGCAAACATGCACGTACGCTCGCGCGTACGATGTGTTGTTGTTGTTCTTTACAAATTTCTGCTCAGATATTTTTTCCTCGACTGGCACCGTATGGCACGCTATCTTGCCGTGGCGGCAGAGAGTGTGAATGTCTTTGTGCTGTTAGTGTGCGTGCTAAGATACTAAGGATCTAGATCTCATATCGCAAATACCGAGTCGGGCTGATTACTTGCGCGTGGCTTGATGTGAAAGCTAACGGCAGACGCTACCCGTATTTTTCTCTGCAGTGATTTACTTATATCTAATTAATGCGGTCGTTGTCGGTCATTTTCAGGATCCAGCTTACATCAAGAAGGGTTGGCTGTTAAAGGAAGATTCCCCAGACAAGGTAAAAGGATTCAATCGCTCTAGTTCTAGTGAATTCACTTCTCCTCCTGTCTAGTTTTAGTGACCTTACTCACACACGCCCCACCTCCATAGTTCTAGCGAACCAATGCCCTCTCGCCCCTTCTAGTTCCGAGGAACTCACTAGCTCGCGTTGTCGCACTCATTACTAGCTAGCACGGTTGCATACTCAGTCCGTGTTGGTTGTTGGTGGTCTATTCTCCCCGCACTGGACGTTGTCCCTGCATGTAACACACTACTGATAGTTGATAGCTACACCCATCCTACGTGTTACTGATCTCATTCCTGATAGATCATCCATGCCAAGTGATACTTAACCTTATCCCTCATCAGTTGCTGCTAGCCTTTCTCGCCACTCTCCCATTACGTTACTGCTATGCAATGACACGCCCCGTTATTCTCAATCCTTTTCTACTTCCACTGCAGCACGCATCGTGTCTCTCCCGATGCACTCAGTCGAGGCGAGTCTGAAAGCTCGTTGCTGAAATGCCCACGCAGACGCGGCGCGAGCCGAAGTTGGCAAAATATGAAAAAAATCGATAAAAATTATTCGCAGTTCGCAGCGGGGGTGATGGACGCACTGTTCTTGCGCACAGCCTCGGTGGACGGCGAACCCCGGCGCGCACTGTGTGATGTGACGCGAGTACGGTGTCTTTGCAACCGGGCAACATTTCCATTCACACGGAGAGTTGGGGGGCGGGGTGGATGGGAAGGGAGATGATAAATCATAAACGTAGAGAGGGGGAGAGGAGAGTAGTAGGGAGGGAGAGAGAGCGAGAGATCTATTCGCGAGCTGGCACCGGGCAGGCCCCCTCTGAGACGTCGCGAATGCAGCGAATAATGCCGGCTACAATTGCGTTTACATTGGTCGTTAAGCGCCGACGAGCCCTCGAGAGAGAGAGTCGGTCTACTGTCGCTCCACTCCTCCGTGCATCGTCGCCACGCGATTGCGCACGAATCGATGTCGGCGCGAATGTTTACCGCTGAGTGCCGCCGACGACAATGATGCCAACGACGACGATGATGATGCCAACGACGACGATGATGATGCCGACGACGACGACGACGACGATAGCGACGACGCTGCCGACGATGATGCCAACAATGGCGAAGACGACGATGATGATGCCAACGACGACGACGACGACGATGATGCCAACGACGACGAAGACGATGATGCCGACGACGACGACGACGACGATGATGCCAACGATGACCACGACGACGATGATGCCAACGACGACCACGACGACGATAGCGACGACGCTTCTGACGATGATGCCAACGACGGCGAGGACGACGATGATGATGCCAACGACGACGACGACGATGATGCCAACGACGACGACAATGACGATGATGCCAACGACGACAACGACGACGACAGCGACGACGTCATGTGTGTCTCATGAGGCCCTACATGAGTGCCTCTACATGTGTCTCATGAGGCCCTACATGAGTGCCTCTACATGTGTCTCATGAGGCCCTACATGAGGCCCTACATGAGGCTGTAACGAAGCGGTGATGTTACCCGTTTCATTGGTGTAGTGATTTGTTGTAGAGATGAAGAAGGGAAACTCCAAAGTCCAAGCAGTTGTGTTTAGCAAATAGTATTATTGTTTCTCAAAAGTCGCACCCCCGTGCATGCGCACAGAGGCACGCATCCGCGTGACCCGCACACTCTCGTCCGTCCTCTTTCAACCAAGAACTATTGATACGTTTCTAGCTGACAAAGAAATCAATCGCGCGTGCGGACAACCACATCCGCTGCACACATGCACACATGCACAACAACTGACTCTCAATCGTTTCTCGTCTCCATCATCCATACTACATTAAACGCGCTGCCGCCGACTTCCCATTATGCAACCACCGTCGCGACATTTCTAATCACCCAACTACTATTTCTAACATCTGCAAACCACACTTTACAAGGCCCTCATGTGCCTCTACATGTGCCTCATGAGGCCCTACATGAGGCCCTACATGAGTGCCCTACATAATGCCCTCACGTGCCCCTACATGTGCCTCATGAGGCCCTACATGTGCCTCATGTGCCCCTACATGTGCCTCATGTGCCCTACATGATGCCCTCATGTGCCCTTACATATGCCTCATGAGGCCCTACATGAGTGCCCTACATGATGCCCTCATGTGCCCTTACATGTGCCTCATGAAGCCCTACATGTGCCTCATGAGGCCCTACATGTGCCTCATGTGCCCCTACATGTTCCTCATGAGGCATTACATGAGTGCCCTACATGATGCCCTCATGTGCCCTTACATGTGCCTCATGTGCCCCTACATGTGCCTCATGTGCCCTTACATGTGCCTCATGTGCCCCTACATGTGCCTCATGAGGCACTACATTAGGCACTATATGAGTGTCTGATGAACGCTGGCGCCATGACGATAAGTACAGCGGACGAGGGATTCACACGGCCATCGCTGTCTATAACCCACAAGTCCCCCTGCTGCCGACTGTGCCGTGGATGCTGGCTGCCTCTGACAATCAAGCAGTTCGTCACCGCTGCGGTCCTGAGCGTGGGTGTCGTCACGTCCAGAAATTATTCAGTCCTTGCGTCTGCGCGGGTGCTTTCCTACGTCAGCAACGCTGTCTCCGTGACTACGGGGATGCCGGCCTCCGTCAGCAATGCTGTCCCTGCGTCTGCCTCAGTGCATACGTCAGTAATTCTGTCGCTGTGTGTGTGTGCGTGAGTGCCCATCTACGTCAACAATGCTGTCCATGACCGTGCCACTGATCTTTATATACTAACAGTATATTGAGTTATATGCAGAGTTATATATATATATATAGTTATATATATAGCAGTTATATACAGAGATATATAGAGATACGTAGAGTGTATAATTGTCTCCCCCGCGACGAAGTCGGCGGAGATACTATGGTTTGATGTCTCCCCAGCCGCCGCCGCCGCCGCCGCTCAGTCCGCCGCAGAGAATTTTCCTTCCGCTCTATAACTCGACCCCTAATTGACCTAGCGCTACCAAACTTGGTATACTTACACATCTTGGGGAGAAGGTGAGCAGCGTACCAAAACCAGGTCACTGCGACCTTACTATTTGACCTTTACTTTCACTTTGACCTTCATCATATTTCCCTTCCGCTCTATAATTCGGCCCCTAATTGACCTAGCGCGACCAAACTTCGTATACTTACACATCTTGGGGAGAACACGGGGGATACATGTGGTTGGCGACAACTGCCCTTTCTAGTTAGTATTATGGAGATCAGTGGCGAGTGCCTATCTACGTCAACAATGCTACGCGTGCGTACGTCAGCAGTGCTGTGCGTGCGTGGGTGCGCGCCCACACACTCCATTACCAATGGGCCTGCTCGTACAGAAAATTGCCCTGTCGTGCATGGCTGTGTATTATCACATGTTACCATAAAATCACTGTTCACTCGGCTGGCTGACGAGTATTACCTGCGGATATATCAGCATAATATATAGGACTAAGCATATATCATAGATCAGGGTTATATGGAATAATTTAGTCTTCTTGAGATAGTGGGGGAGCAGCAGCAGTAGAGTGATAGGCAAGGCATTCTGTGTGTCTGTGTCCCCGAAGATAGTACTGTGACGATTGTCTGTGATTTTTGAAAGGGACTGGTTTCCAAAACGAGCAATTATGACGTAGTGACTAACTTTAATTAAAGCATTACGTCATGATGATTGATGTATTTTAAAATGTTTGGCTCGAGTTTGAATATTTTCTTTTAAATACGCCAATAACGCTGATTTGTTTCGATCTTTGCTAAACATTCACACGGTCATTTCCGAATGACCAAATATATACCTACCAAACGAATGTAAATAGTGTAACGGGTTATATTATGCCCAGGAACATCTGGCCGGTGTTCATACTGCCAGAAATTGTGAATGTTTCCTGCGTCAAACGATAGTTCGCAGGCACATTGCGGAAAGACTGAGAGAATAAGCTATGTGGTCGCAATTGAGCGTGAGCTTCATCATTCAGTGTTTAATTTGAACCTTCGCCATATATAGCAACATATTATAGCAGCATAGCAACATATAGCAAACATATGTATATAGCAAGTTATAGCAACATATTATGGCAGCATATTATAGGGAAGCGTATAAATATAGCTGAAGCGACAACGACACGTGCGTGCGGTTGTAGTAACGACAGGATGTTCGCGTCGGGTCGCCAGACATGATTCTAGGAAAATATCTGTTTTCGAACGTCGTGTCCGTGTGAAGGTGTGTGACTGTGTGTGTGTGTGTGTGTGTGTGTGTGTGTGTGTGTGTGTGTGTGTGTGTGTGTGTGTGTGTGTGTGTGTGCGCGCGCGTCGTGCGTGCGTGCGTGCGTGCGTGCGTGCGTGCGCGCGCGCGTCGT